ACAAAGAAAAATTAAAAAATCTTATAGAGAAGAAATCAATTTAAAGATTTAAACAATTAAGACAAGTTACTCCAGACTATAGTTAGTGAAAGAGGCGTTATAAACCCTGAAAGTCCTCCTGGGTTTTGAGTTTTCGACATAACTTATTTTTAATTTTAAGTAACTGCTTTGATGAAATAAATAAATGAAAAGATGGGTTATAAAGACATTGAACAAAATCCAATAAATGAATAAAAAAGTTGATTATGAAATTAATTTATGAATGATTATATGAACAATCTCAGTGCTATAGTAATGTATAAATGATGGGTGAAAGAATACATGATTGGGTGGATGTATCTTTGAGAGTTTCCTTTGGGAAATGCTCTTTCGTGTATCTAGAACTTTAGAAGGAATGGTTTTCAGTTCATTGAATGATGGGTTGTCCTTCAATGATAATAATATCGACGTTTTCGGGATTACATTTTAGGGATACTTGGGCATTAGAATGATGAATGGAACAACTGGGTTTTGGGACGTAAAAAACAGGGTTTCTAGATCTATCATTTGGGACGTGATGCTTCGTGGGACTAGGATATTTAGTCCCACGGGGTTATTTGAACGTTTTTAGGATATTTGGAACTACATTTTAGGGATTATTGGACATATGAATTACGAATGAATAAACGAATGCTCTGCCTGAACTGCTCCTGGTCCTGTGTGCTGCTCTCTAAAGTATCGAGCAGCTGCGGGGATATACAAACATTAGCTTCATACAGCTGCGAGGCTGTTTTGGATTTAGAGTCGAAGAGATAATAGCAGCTGTCCCTGCTGCTCCAAGCTGCTCTCTGCTGACTTAAATTCTCCTGAAGCATAATTTGAAAATTAAAATTAGGTTTTCTACAGTGGGACCCATTAAATTATGGAATTATAGAAATGCGACATTGAAGATTATATGCATGAATCTAATGATGTTATATGAGTCAATAGTTTCACTCGTGGATTGGAAATTAATCGCTAAATGGGGGTATATGTACAACTGCACAATTACTATGTTTTATGTTCCTTGGAGTATTAAAACCCATAATTTGAATCTAACAGTCGTCTTCCTATTTCACCGTTGTATGCATTATGGGTCTCACTGTAATAAAAACGTAAACAAATCTATTTCGTACATTTCTTTTCTGGTTTATGGTTTTAAATTTGAAAAAATACACTTTTCAAACTTTGAAATGAACCTTGTTTCGTGCTATTTAATGGAATTGAAATTGTATCTTACATAATTTTATAAAAAAATAAAAAAATTCAGACTCTAATTATTACCTTAGTAGATATTAAACTTGAACCTTGACTGCATCTACAAAATATTTTTTATTTCAAAATTTAATTTACTTTTTTATTCTAATTTTTCTAAATTTTTGATTATTTTATTTCAAAATGAAGTTTAAAACTAAAACAATATTTTCCTTCTCTGTAAATCAGATTCCCTGAGAATCCAAGGATGCTTTAGACTCTCTTCAACAGTGCTTCTTTTCCTAAAATAGGATTAGTTAAAGAGACTGATTTCAAAACTACTTCTTTTCCTAAAATAGGATTAGTTAAAGGGACTGATTTCAAAACTACTTCTTTTCCTAAAATAGAATAAGTTAAAGGGACTGTCTACGTAATTTCAAGTGACCATTCCTTCAACGAGTTTATGCCTTATTCACAACCGTACCTGCTTGATATTATAAAGATTTTTTATGTTTTTTCAAACCTTGGTAGAAAACGAACAACTGATTTATCTAGTGGGGGAGGGCGGGGGCAGGCACTATGGGGAAGGGTTGACTGATTTTTTTTTTATACTATTCCATTATAATTCTATTCTAGGAAACTAAGGGGGTGGCGCCACGTTATCTCTGTCACTTCCTTCATTCTTTGACCCCTTTTATTCCCCTATTCTCCTATTCTCCTATTCTCCTATTCTCCTATTCTTCTATTCTCCTATTCTCCTATACTCCTATTCTCCTATTCTCCTATACTCCTATTCTCCTATACTCCTATTCTCCTATTCTCCTATTCTCCTATTTTCCTATTCTCCTATTCTCCTATTCTCCTATTCTCCTATTCTCCTATACTCCTATTCTCCTATACTCCTATTCTCCTATTCTCCTATTCTCCTATTCTCCTATTCTCCTATTCTCCTATTCTCCTATTCTCCTATTCTCCTATTCTCCTATTCTCCTATTCTCCTATTCTCCTATTCTCCTATTCTCCTATTCTCCTATTCTCCTATTCTCCTATTCTCCTATTCTCCTATTCTCCTATTCTCCTATTCTCCTATTCTCCTATTCTCCTATTCTCCTATTCTCCTATTCTCCTATTCTCCTATTCTCCTATTCTCCTATTCTCCTATTCTCCTATTCTCCTATTCTCCTATTCTCCTATTCTCCTATTCTCCTATTCTCCTATTCTCCTATTCTCCTATTCTCCTATTCTCCTATTCTCCTATTCTCCTATTCTCCTATTCTCCTATTCTCCTATTCTCCTATTCTCCTATTCTCCTATTCTCCTATTCTCCTATTCTCCTATTCTCCTATTCTCCTATTCTCCTATTCTCCTATTCTCCTATTCTCCTATTCTCCTATTCTCCTATTCTCCTATTCTCCTATTCTCCTATTCTCCTATTCTCCTATTCTCCTATTCTCCTATTCTCCTATTCTCCTATTCTCCTATTCTCCTATTCTCCTATTCTCCTATTCTCCTATTCTCCTATTCTCCTATTCTCCTATTCTCCTATTCTCCTATTCTCCTATTCTCCTATTCTCCTATTCTCCTATTCTCCTATTCTCCTATTCTCCTATTCTCCTATTCTCCTATTCTCCTATTCTCCTATTCTCCTATTCTCCTATTCTCCTATTCTCCTATTCTCCTATTCTCCTATTCTCCTATTCTCCTATTCTCNTGGAGTATCATGCTAATCCAAGAACCTGTCAAAAATCTAGTTAATTTGATACAAAACATGATTTTCTGTCATGTTTGCACACTGTTCAGTGTACAAATGTAAAATTAGAAGGAGGAGGATTTAAAAACTTTACAGGAATACAGAATGTGATCCCAAATTTTTAAACCACAAATACAGTTGTAAACAGTCTAAAGCTATTTTTCAAATTATTCACTATCTTGTAGTAGAGCCAGGAGGGACTTGGGGGCAAGTGAAACTATGTGTTTTTTCTAATACAGGGGTACTCACTTAAATGACGACCACAAACTCTGTCAACATGGCTATATGAAGGGTTACTTCGGTCTTTGCTTTAAATATATATGTTACTTTAACATATTTTAATTAATTGGCAAAAAAGATCAAGTTTAGGACCTATTGTATTTAAGAAATACGAGCTAATCATTCTCTGAAGTCTCAGCATCTCTTTGTTCAAGACAATTATTCTTAAATTGTTGCAGCGATGTGTAAATTATCTTAAGTTTTAACGAGATGAAAGAATTTCAAAAATTTAAAAAATTTAGAATAATAACAAAGGGTCCCTTGTCAACTAAAGGGAAAGACCAGAAAACTAAAAACTCAATCTTAAATCAACATTAATATATAATTGATTAATAATATGATTATAATAATATGATTATAATATAATTCTTCGTTAAATAATTGCTCAGAGCTAGGAACTTTTGAATGGTGGATATCGTGATTAATGCCAGATTCACTCTTTTTCTTAATCTCGAAATTAAATAATGCTTGTTCTCCTCGTGAATTTAATCTCCAGATTAATTAACCGATCAGAATTAAGGATATCCCATTCTAAAGTTTTCAGCTCAGATTTAATTTCTCTCTCCGTTTTTGCAAACTCTCTCTTTCAGGTTTGAAAGTTTCAAATTAAGAATTCGCTTAAACTCTTCACATATAGGCAAGTGTGAAAATCTATAAAATTAGAAATACTTTTGCATTTTCAAACAATATTAAATATATCAAAATATCAAAATATCTAAAATACCAAAATATATTATATTAAAAATAACCAAAATAACCAAAATATCAAAAATATGAAAATTATCATAAATATCCAAACATCAAAAATATCAAGAATATTAAAAATATTAAATACTCACTCTTTCTCTCGAACTAAGAGGTGATCAATAAAATCCTTGGCTTCGTCTGAAACCTAAAATTTTTTTTAAAAAGATTAATCAACATAAACATTAAAAATCTTTCAATGAAAATAATACTAAAAATGAATTGTATGCCGTCGTTAATTTGATCTCTTAAAGGGAGTGAAGACATAATTTTAAGCGATTCTTCATTTCCAAAGTGGCATGTCCGATTTACAACGCACGTTGATTTAACGATTCTGTCAATATTCCAGTAAGCTGGGACTTTCGATCACAGTTTGGCTCGTTAAACATAATTTTTAACCTTTTTTCTTAAATACTTTTTTGTCGGTATATGCATTTTGAATGAAAAAGTATAGAATAAACAGTGCGTAAGGTAAAAGATTGTTGAATTATAGAACAAAACATATTTGATTTCAAATAGAAGAAACCGAATGCTACTCACTCTGGTTAGTCCGGGGTGAACGGTGACATTTTAAGCCTTGTTTCATCAAGAATGTATAATGAAACATGCCCATTTATTGATCAGAAAACGCTTTAAACGGTCCTGTTGTGAATCGGGCATGCCCCCTTTTTTCCTAAGTGGAGGGGCACTTGAAATTACAATAACAAACAAAACTCCTGTCTTATTATTGCTGGTGTTTACAGTCGGATTCTAGATGAGGTGGATATTGTAAATTTTTAGATTGAAAATCAAAGATATTTCAATCATCGACTTTTAAAAGAATACTGTTGCGATTTGTTGATGGCAAATCTTCTTTTTGGCAAAATCTATTTGAAGAATTGTGATAGCTTTTTTTTAATTAATTAAAAGAATTAAAATTTATAATTCTATTGATTTTCAATGAATTTCGCACCTTTTCAAATGCTTCATCTTCGTAATCAAATTCTGCAATTGTAACATTTGCCATTGTCTCAAGATCGGTATCTCCCATAAATGGAGATAATCCAGAAACCCTGAAATAGGAAAAATAAAAGGGACTGTATGTAAGGGACGTCTCAAGGGTTCTTTATTTATAGGAGCAGGACACTATGGTATCCAAGGTTGTAATGCAAGGAAAGTTAATTGCTGTCGCGTATACTCTGCGTACATATTGAAACCAGTTCTCTCTGGGCGGAATTTGTAAACAAGATTAGATGCATCAGTGTTTGTCTAGTATCCGAGGAGGTTAAAAGCATAAAATTTTGATAATTTTGATAATTCACATAATAGTTTCCCATGACCAGAATATTCCATTGATTTTTTTTGTGAAAGATGGATCCCATGTCAGGCTTCGACATCCGTCTTGTGTTTACATTACCGCCCAGTGACAGTACACTGCAGTACAAAAGATGCGTACACTTCTGAAATAACTTTCCTTGCATTACATCCTTGGTGGTATCCATAAAAGCTTTGTATGACCAACAAAAAATGATTTTATCCATTTCTTATAAACTTTCTTTTTTAAATCTGCTATTACAAAAGTGACTTACGGATTTTTCGCTAGAGAAACAATGGAGGCAATTGAAAGAACTTTATAAGCTCGAAAAACGACAATATCTTCCACGTTATTTTTCAGATAAATGTTTTATTTTGAATTTTTTAAATTCAGTTAATTTTTTATTATATATTTAGTTTCGGATAATTTTCAATAATTCAGATTCGTTAAAATTCTTAATATTAATAATATTACGTCTGTAACCCTCCCCTTCGCCCCCCCATCTCGGTCCAGCAGAGGGTCTTTAATTCAACATAAAGAAAATATTTGCAATTCATCACTTTTTAAAATTCATATTTCGATTCGTCAAAAGATCATTCAGACGTCAAACTGCTTAATCTGAAAAATATTATCACCGAGGACGGAAACTCAAATCTTATGCTAAATCTGGGACGAAAGGGGCTTACTCAGGAGGGGGCTTTGTGTACTGAGCCCCGGTTTCCTCTAACGGTGGGGGTCCCAAGCCAGCTGGGAACTAAAAAAAGATCCCGTTGGTTTTAGATAAAATCTGATCAAAAAATGTAGGATGACTTTAGAAATAATTGTCTGAAAGTATCCCCCCACCCCCTTCCCCTCTCCTACTCCTAGAGAAAAATGTAAGTCAGTAATTGTTTAAATCTAGCTGACAAGGTGTGTTGGCCCTCCTATCCTATCTCTATACTTGTATAGAGACCCTAAGCTATCTATCAAACCCTGAACAATAAGACAAGTCATCCTGAGCCATGATCTCAGCTGAAACCAGGACCCTGATTAATCTTTAAATCATGTAAATTCATTTTTTTTTCAATTTACACCGCAGTCATTTTTGGTGTCGAAGTGTCTGAGCTTTATAATGAAAATTCTAATTTATTTAAAAAATACTTACAGAACGTAGCAGATCACTCCTATAGCCCACATATCAGTGCAATATCCTTTTATCATTCAAACTGGATTTTTTCCTTCAATTTTTCAATTCTTCTAAATAATCCTCCCTCTTTCTATCACACCCTGCCACCTATGTAGAAGATGATTAAAAGTTTTACAGTAAATACACCCCTGCCCTCTCCCTCTGAAAATGCTGAAAAAATATCATGTTCGAATGCCTATAGGCTCGAAGTTAACTATCTCAGGGGCCACGAACTCCGGAGTTCCGAACAGTATCTGAAGTTTCTTCTCGGGTTCGAAGCGTCGAGCCAATCCAAAATCGATTATCTTGATTCGATTCCCAGTTCGGTTGATGCACAGTATATTCTCGGGCTGAAAGTAAAAACAAGATTTTATTATTGATTGATTGCTGATGATTGATTGATTGATGACTTGGGATATTTTACTCCTGCACTGACATTGTCTAAACGTCATGCTCCAAACTTATCTGGAGGGAAGGGGGCGGGGTATCTAACCCGCCCCCCCCCTCCTCCACCTTTTAAACAGTTCATTTTAAGTTGTGCAATGTGCAGCTTTGTGCAAAAATACTTTTTTCAGGTGATTCTCCCACATTTAGACGGAACCTGTTGCCACCTTTTAGAATTTGATCTTTATATTTAGGAGATTGAGTGAGCAGTGATGGTGAAGCAAAAAGTAATCTTTTTTCTCGAAAAGTTAAACAATTTATATTAACCTTTTCTTAATAATACTGGCACGGCAAGAAAACTTGGAAAAAGAAGAGAACTTTGGACTAAAAGTATAATATATACGTTGTTTTATAACCGATCAGAAGAAAAAAACAATATATTGACCAACCGAAGTAAAATCAGTGTTAACCAATTTTAAAGGCATGTTTAATAGATCGACCTGGCTCTGGTCTAAAGCGAAACCACGAAGGTATTTCTACTGAAAGTGCGTGGGATATTACCCATACTGATCCCCTCCCCATGATAAACCGTCTCTAATGTGTGGAGAAAGGGGGGTTATTGTTGGCAAAGCCTATGGTAGCAAAGCCTTAAGTATGTATCTAGATATGAGGCCTATTTGATGCATTTAAATGAAAGTTGAATCGATTTATATAAGGAATAAGAATATGTACAATAAAGTGCTGCAAAATCAAAATGGCGGACACCCAAACTGACGGGTGAACACCTATTTAGCGCAAATGAACTGATGCCTTTTTAAAGATGGTGGTTGAGTGGGAGGTGACGGATGATGTTTTTTTATTGTTCTGCTGTCAGTTACACATATTTAATCAGACCATATTAGGGGGTAGAGAACTAACTTGTCGTACACAATAAACACTTGTTAGAATTAGAGTAATTAATAACACTTTCTCCATTTGTTAAATACAGTAAATATAATCTTTAAACTTTTATTTGGGACTGGACAGCAATCTTTATATGCTTGTATACAATTAACTTTAGAACAGTCGGGGCTGTACAATAATCTTTATATGTTTGTATACAATTAACTTTAGAACAGTCGGGGCTGTACAGTAATCTTTATATGTTTGTATACAATTAACTTTAGAACAGTCGAGACTGTATACAATAATCTTTATATGTTTGCATACAATTAACTTTAGAACGGTCAGGGCTGTACAGTAATCTTTATATGTTTGTATACAATTAACTTCAGAACGGTCAGGGATGTACAGTAATCTTTATATGTTTGTATACAATTAACTTTAGAACAGTCGAGACTGTATACAATAATCTTTATATGTTTGTATACAATTAACTTTAGAACGGTCAGGGCTGTACAGTAATCTTTATATGTTTGTATACAATTAACTTCAGAACGGTCAGGGATGTACAATAATCTTTATATGTTTGTATACAATTAACTTTAGAACGGTCGGGAATGTACAATAATCTTTATATGTTTGTATACAATTAACTTTAGAACGGTAGGGGCTGTACAGTGTACAGCAATCTTTATATGTTTGTATACAATTAACTTTAGAACGGTAGGGGCTGTACAGTGTACAGAAATCTTTATATGTTTGTATACAATTAACTTTAGAACGGTCAGGGCTGTACAGTAATCTTTATATGTTTGTATACAATTAACTTCAGAATGGTCAGGGATGTACAATAATCTTTATATGTTTGTATACAATTAACTTTAGAACTGTCGGGACTGTACAGTGATCTTTATATGTTTGTATACAATTAACTTTATAACGGTCGGGACTGTACAATAATCTTTATATGTTAGTATACAATTAACTTTAGAACAGTCGGGACTGTACAGTAATCTTTATATGTTTGTATACAATTAACTTTAGAACGGTCGGGGCTAAATTGACCAATCGATCAGTCCCAAAACTAGAAAAAATTGTTATATAAATATTGTATTTTTGATTTTTTTTTGATTAAATACCAAAAAGACAAAAAAATCTGCAAATTTTTTTATTTTCTGATATTCTTGCTATTTTAAGAACTAACTAAGAAGAACTAAGAGGAAAGAGTTAAAGACAGATCAGCAATAAGATTTTTTTTAAATAAAACGTCGGACAAAGCATGTTTTTTAAAACAAAACAAGTAAGAGTTTGAATGTTGATGTTACTTTAAGTTTGGTTAAGATAATTAAGTTTCTTGAAAAACCTGCTGAAAGAATTGTTTGCTCCCAAATTTTGCATTAGATAAAAAGTGAAAGGAGAAAATAGTTTTAAAAAAAACGTCGTTAACCTCAAACAAAGGTCGAGGGGGGGGGCACAATATCTTGAGGGGAGGGGACATTATTTAGAAGTCAAGTCCTCACTGAGCATTCTATTGTTAGCAGTAAACAATCTTAAAATACATCTGAAACTAGATCATAGATAGCTATAGATTAATTCTTATGTACTTCGACATACAGGGGTATGTAACTTTAAGTCAATTTAAAGAGTCAAATACCCTTCAAACCTTGTTCTCAGCAAAAATGATGAAGATAAAAGTTATTTTTTTGAATTTTGGTTCCTCTTGAAAAATGACAAAAACAAAAAAAGAAATTAGCAGACTTTTTGAGTAAACCGCAATATCTTTCTCGTTGTTGAACTTGATAGGGTAGCGTAGTAAATTAAACTGTGTAACAATATATTTATTACTAAACTAGTTTGGAAACCCAGCTATGCCGGAAAATAAAATTTCTTTTTAAAAGTCGATCCAATTAAAATTTGAAGAAATCCTGAAATATTATCAGACAGACAGATATTACTACTTTATGTATAATATACATTGTATATAGATATATGTGTTTTGTGTATAACTAATCTGTATATATATATATGTAAATTGCAGATATCTCAAGTCTGTGTTTTACAAAATCTTGATTTATATACATTCCTTTAAATTGGACAGCACATACATCATATCAAATCTCAGTGTTATTAAAATTGTAAACAAAGAACAATAAATGCCAAAATCAAAGCAGATGCTACAATTGTCAAAAAAAAGATGAATTGATTTTGCGTCGCAGTGACTGTATATATAAAGTACAAGGAGAGTATACAGAGGGGGGCAAGGGAACAATGCCCCTCCCCCAATTCAAATCTCATGTTTTATTCCAAGGTTGAAAATATTACATATTACATAGCGGATTCACAAAGACACCATTATCTATTTATCTTACTTTGAAAAGATTACAGTTACAATTTGCAAATCTGTATATCCAAAAATTGATACTCCGCGATTTTTTTTCATCTATCGGTCGAATGGATTAAGAATATCATTTTTTGAAATTTTTCTAAAATGTTATTCTCATGAATGTTATCGATGTAAATATAGATAGATTTGAATATATTAAATATTGAATACATGATTGCATAATTACACATCAATTCCATCATCTTAGATTTACATATTTTTCAACAAATTATAATAAAAGCCCCAAACTAAATTCTATAGNTCCAGAAACCCCCCATCTTTTCAAAAGAGAATAAAAATGTCAATTATTTACAATTGTTTATTGGAATTTGTGGGATGTATTCCAACAACATTTTGTATGACATAATTATGAATTAACCAAATAAACTGCGAATTTAAACAAATAGATTAATAAAGACGTGTACAGTCGTCTTCTAAACCTCATCCTTGGTGGGTAACCCTGTGTATTGGTTCATTATTAATATAGTTGAATGATCTTAAAATGATTATGATTTCAAGTTACCCTCCATTTAAAAATTTCCCCTGTACTAACTGTCAATCAGCATTCTATACTCCAACCTTTCTCTGTTTGTTTGCCCTCTACTCCTGTATGCCGAGTCCATTAGCACCTGATCCTACGATGGTTCAGACATGTGTCTGTTGTCTATTCTGAACCAATAGAATTAGTATGGCAGTAACATCTATCTTTCTATCTATCTCATTATCCAATTAGAGTTATGAATCCTTTAATTGGCGCTATCAGTAAATGGAAATTTTTACTTCTACTGAAACTATAGTGCTTACTTATAACGGTATACCTTTAAAACTTTATTTGAGCAAAAATTTCTTAGATATTCTTCTTTTTTATCTAAAAATTTGAAATTTTTAATTGCGGTAACTTATGGAGCAAAGACTAAGAAGAGAATATCCAGAATTGAACATAATTTAAGAAAAACGGCACCTTCCTCATCAGTGTTGCTCATGTAAGATTGAAAAAGCAGCGTTTAAATCTCTGAATCTAGTGACGTTGCCCTTGAAAGCTTTGTCTGATCAAATATGAATTAGATTTCCAGATTTTTATTCTATTTTCTTTTGTGGTTTCTCAGAATTTCTTGCTTAAAGGACACAACGGAGACATTATCTGAACTTAACAATGTTCAAGTCAGAAAAACGACATTTTCTTCCTCCGTTAGATGATATTATGGTTTAAAGGATACCGTTGTAAATCGGGTATTGCCATTTTTACATTGAGGGCACTTGAAACTACGCTGACAGTCCCTTTAGTCACACAGAGAAACAACAAAATTATTTTTGTGAGAAGATTGTTTTGAATTACCTTTGTATGACAGTTTATCTGATATTGAGGTATCAGTGTAAATATAAATAGAATAATTAGACAGTGCCTATATAAGTATTACATATATGCATTATATAATATATATATAATTCTGGCAATATACTCTGATTAGATCTAGCATGTACTCCATATACAATTATTAGATATTATTCCTGCTTCCATTCCTTAAATCATACATTTCCATAATATGTATNCAAGGAGAATTGAATAGAAGGAGGGGGCGATAAGGTTTCCGTACACTTTGCGTAACAACAATAATAAAGATTGTAAACAATAACGCAAATGATAAACAGACATTTGGCGCATCTCTGGCGTTAGATGAAGATTCACCGTATACTAACTCATGTATGTTTACATTAGATCGGCTGCCTGTCTTATTGTTGTTACGCAAAAACTAGTTCTTCAGCAGTCCTAAAACGTGACAGCAAAGTGTACGGAAACCCAATCGCCCCTTCCTTCTATTCAATTCTCCTTGGCCTGATATACGTTTACATTTGCACATCATTTTAACTACAAACAAAATTGGCTAATGATTGAAATGTTTCACGTGTTTGATAAAATTGCGTAGATAAAAAAACGGTAGGCACGTGTCACGTACATATATGTACGTGGCACGTGCCTATAAATCTTCTATCTATCTATTAAAAGGAACTGTAGACGTGATTTAAAGTGAGCCTCAGTTTACTAAAATGGCACGTCGAATTCATATCGGCGAATCGGACATGCCAAGCTTTTTTTTTACAAATGGTTCATAGAATTACAAAAGAAGTATCTAAATACGATTAAATACCAATCTGAAGGACAAATTCCGTCTTATATGATAAAAGAAAATTGAAATTTCACATTTCACTATTGTCTAAAATACATCTGAAACTAGATCATAGATAGCTATAGATTAANGTTTCCCCAATCACGTAGTTTTTTTTACATAACTTCAAAAGTATTGGTCTGTTAAAATTTTCTGATTTTTCCCATCCTATAGCCTATCATTTTCCAGTTTTTTTATATTCGTCATTTTAAAAATGGCAATGGCCCTTTCACAACGGTACCCTAGTGAAACCTTCATCTTATCAATTATGTAGAAGATATTGTCGTTTTTCTAGAGTTAAAAGTTATGATATTTCCTATTTGTTTTCCTACAGGAGAAATGTACAACTCAGTTTTGTAGAGTAGAGAAACCACAATTAAAAATAAGATTTAAATGTTTATTCAGAATACTTGACAATTGAAATTTACGTTAATATTACATGAAATTATCATTTTTGTTTTGTTTTTAAATTAAAATTGAAAATAATCAGTTTTTCAAAATTATACACACTGATATCTAATTCATACTTGATCAGACAAAGCTTTCAAGGGTACCGTTGTGAATCGGGCATTGCCATCTTTGCATGTAGGGTCACTTAAAATTCCCCTTACGGCTTACTTTCCCTTTAATAATGACAGATGTACATTGTACATGGTATAAGCTGTACATGTAATAATTTACCTTTAAATCAAGATGTATGATAGAACTTCTGTGTATGTACTGCACACCTTCAAGAATCTGCTTCATGAACACCCTGTATTAGAAAAACATTAAACACCCTGTATTAGATAATACAAATTAGACGTTTATTAAATAATCAGATATTACACTACCTGCAGGCTCTTTCACTTAGAACAAATTCTTCATCAATTACTCGATCAAATAGTTCTCCGCCTCCGATACTAAACAAGCAATTCATTAATTTCGCCTCAAATACAAGATCAAACAGTTCTCCGCCTCCGATACTAAACAAGCAATTCATTAATTTCACCTCAAATACAAGATCAAACAGTTCTCCGCCTCCGATACTAAACAAAAATTAATTAATTTCGCCTCAAATACAAGATCAAACAGTTCTCCGCCTCCGATACTAAACAAAAATTCATTAATTTCGCCTCAAATACAAGATCAAACAGTTCTCCGCCTCCGAGACTAAACAAGCAATTGATTAATTTCGCCTCAAATACGAAACCAAAAAATTATTTGTGTCGCCTCCGATACTAAACAAGCAATTAATTAATTTCGCCTCAAATACAAGATCAAACAGTTCTCCGCCTCCGATACTAAACAAGCAATTGATTAGTTCACCTCAAATACAAGATAAAAAATTGTTATGTCGCCACCGATACTAAACCATAAATTTTTTAATTCTACATTCGCTACTTAACAAGAAATTTGTTTTTTCCGCCTCCGAGAGTAAAAAAGAAATTGATTTATTTCGCCTCCGATGCTAAATAAAGAAATGTATTAATTCCACCTCCGATACTAAACAATAAATTAATTAGTTACGCCTCCGATACCAAACAATAGCTCAATCAAAAAACTCATCTCTAACAAACACAAACTAATTTGGTTGATTTGCCTCTGAAACTTGAGAAAAAGTTATAATACGATGAATTTTCAACTTTACTAGCTTGCTATATCATTAAAGAGTTTAATTTCTACACTGCTGCTGCAACAGAAACAAAATCTTTATTTTGACAAATCAACAATGAGTAAAGGAACAAACATGCCTTTTGGGCTTTAAGTTGATAAGAACATTTTCCTTTGTTAACATCATGAGATTACTGTACAGTTTATTTAAAGAACAATGAATATTTCCGAACGGTTTTAATTCTATTTTTTCTGAAAAACAACTTAAAAATAACTCAAGGATAATTTCAGAGTAGATAAGGAATAAAGGAATTGAGTTTTTACCACAAACTCCGATTTTCTAATCCTGATATCTTTACAATCTAATCTCGTAAACCTTTGATATTTCAAGCTATAAATTCTGTTAGGTTGAATATTCAAAGTTTGAAATGTTAAAGGTTTAAACCATTCGGTTGCACAGATATAGGGATTCGAAAATTTGAGTTTGCGGCAAAACCTCAATTCCGTTGTCAAGATTTTTCCCAATTATACGAGAAAATAAAAATAAAACCATCATTTTTACAAATAAAGGCTTAAAGGATAATATGTAATGCAAATTTTACAAATTAATAGCGATTAACTAAATCAAAAATTTTGTTTGATTTTTATTCTTAGATTTTATTAAAGAGAATATTGCAATCCAGCTTTTAAAGGATGTAATTGCAGTTTTCGCAAACACTCTCTTTAATCAAAGGATCATTTTATGCAAAAAATTCCTTTAAACTTTAATTTTCAAACTTACTATTCCATGATGAGACACATCTCATTTCTTCCATTATCGTAAGCATCATATAGTTGTAATAGCTTAGTACTGTGAAGAGAGTTCATTATATCTACTTCACGTTCAACATTTCGTCTAGATTATAACAATAATAATAATAATAATAATAATAATAATAATAATAATAATAATAA